AGCAGAAGAACCTACAATAAATATATATAATATAAATTTATCTGATGAATGTAAATATTAAACACAAGGTTCTACAGTATTCTACATAACGTACAGGAAACATTGAAGCAACGTCCCTGTGGGGGTGAATAAACTGCTCTCATATGATTCATGAATCGTCTCCTTCAAGCTGCTGTTCTAGTTTAAATCCACAGATGAAGTGATTTACTGCAGAGAAAACAGAGTCCATGTAGCTGTCGGCTGAAACCTCCACAGACTGACAGGATTCAGTCCTGAAGCAGCTTCTTATCTCCTGAAGTCACTGATCCAATCAAACGTGTTCTGTTGTTTCATTCTTCAGCAGAACCAGGCTCATGAACACAAACTGATCACTTCTCCTCAACTGAAAACTACTTTTACAGCAAAAAGACACAAAAACAAGAATAAAAACTGAAACTCCTTCAAAATAAAAGCCTCCAGCAGCAGCAGCCCGGTTCCCTGAACGCAGCCTGATCAACTTGTTGGTTCGGTTTTTATTTTCCGCGGCAGCGACACGAAAACGTTCCCGTGTAATCAGATTACATCAAAGATCGGTCAGGTACTCACAGTTTGAGGCTCCTGAGCAGCTGCACAGAAACAGTCCGCAGGTCAGTTCGAGTCACCTGGACACGGGAGCGACGCGCGCATGGTTCCGACCCACAACGGACAGGTGGGTCCTGGACGAACAGGTGAGTCCCGGGTGAACAGGTGAGTCCCGGGTGAACAGGTGAGCTCTCTGCTCCGTCTGCTCTCTCTCTGAAGCTCCCACTAATATATCAGCTGCCATGTGACAGGGTGATGCCTTCACGGCCGCCTCGGAAAGTCCAGGGATCACCCAGTGGGGGCTGCCTTCACGGTCAGTGTGGGAAAGAAATAAAGAAAAGAAAAGAAAAGGAAAGAAAAGAGAAGAAAAGAAAAGCAAAAAAAAACATCGATAAGAAACTGCAAAAAGATATTACATAAAATATATTTTCTGACTAACTTTAATAATAAAATCTTTTTTTTTGCTATTGTAAATATACATATATTTTTACCAACTTAAACATTACATTTATGCATATTATTACTTTTTATTAGTAGTAGTAGTATTACTATGTAAATTACTAGTATTATTATTTATGAATAATAATAATAATAATAATAATAATAATAATAATAATAATAATACAGATATTTATTACTAACTTAAATAATAAAATCTATTATTTTTATTTTTTTATAATTGTAAAAAAAAAGTTAACAACTTAAATATTACATTTATTCATATTATTCCTGTTTATTATGAGTGGTAGTCGTAGTGGTGGTGGTATTATTATTATTATTGTTATTTTTATTATTATTATTATAATTATTATTATTATTATTATTAATAATTTTATAATACATTTTATTAATTAGATATTAATATAATTGTGATTCAACTATTTTCATTATTAAGATTCAAATAATCACATTTAATTGTTATTATTATTATTATGATCTTCATTATGTAAAATATTTTTACTAACTTAAATACATTTATTCATATTCACATTATTATTATTTACACTTTTATTCATATCTCCTCAACAATTTCCCTGAGGTTTGCACCAAAGGTTTCAATAAAGTTCTATTCAATTCTATTCTAATAACAATCTTTGTTAATTGTTTACAATATTATCTAGAAGTTAAAAAAAACGTTTGTAGATGAATCTGTGTTCAGGTTGAGGAGTGGATGCTTTAACGACTTTCTAAAGCTACAGAAACAAGAATACAACAGTAAATATGGGAATAAATTCTATTTCCTGCTCTGTGTTGGTTTAATGTGAACCAACAGTGACATCTGGTGGTTGAATGGAGGAAACACCTGAGCTGAGCTGCAGGTGGAACTTTGAACGAGGTCAAAACCTTCATTTGTAAATTAACTTTAACTTTATTGATTCATTTGTTTGGTTTAAACCTGAATAATTAAGTTTGTCAGGTTAATAAGGGTGATGTATAAAACAGTGTTTCATGTGAAAATATTCAATGTCAATTTATTTTAAAACATTTTTATATTTTGTGAAAAATCAGCAGCCGTCAGATGATTTATTTTGGGTTTTTAGCAGTTGAAAAATCAGAAATCGGTGCCACATGAAGCACAAGAATTTCCTGTTTCCTTTGTTAACTTATCTTATCTTCTATGTTACATCTCCTCGACACATAAAAACTACTCATGTTCATGCAAAATCCAAAAAAATGAAACAAAAATGAGTAAATAATGAAAAATAAAAAGCTCAAACTGCTGCGAAGCTCCAACGTTTTCTTATTTATTGCACCGAAAATGTCTTAAACTGTGAAATAAATGCGAGAACGTTGGAGCCCTGCAGAGTTCGGCCTTTAAATCTGCTTCAAAACTCAAATTTATCAAAGTGTTTTTGTCAGAAAAAGACTGAAGCAGCAGTGAGTTAATGATCCCTGAAATGTTTTTATTTTTTTTTCCCTGCACAGTAATTTAAAAAAATAAAATAAAAAACAGCTCTTGTGTCATTATCTGGAGTCCAGCTGTGCATGACGGATGACGGCAGCGTCGGATTCTGACAAACGGAACCAGAATTTATTTGCAGCTGAGTTCCAGTTTAACGTCATCAGTGATTTATAGGCTTTAGTTCTGTCTTCCTGCATGTGGAGCCAAAGTTTAGAAACTCATGCAAAAAGCAACAAAACAAACAGCGACACCTGCTGGTTGGTTGTTGTCACTTCAGACAGAAAACAGGAACGACGTCGCTGCACCTCCTCAGCTTCAGTTTATTTCTTTGTTATTCTGGACCCAAAACTAAGTTCTGGGAAATATTTTGTGGCTGAATTATGAGAATTTCATAGTTTCACCTGCAAAAAAACCCGAGAAGCCATTTTCAAGGTTCAATATCTCCAGAAATAAAATTCCAACAGTCATGAGATGTGGTGAGGACTCAGACAGGATAGTTTATATCAGATCAGAACCATTGAATGGATCCAGAAGAGGACACAGTTTGAATTATTGGGAACTGAAATCGGAAGAAAATGCAAAATTTCAAGCATTGTGGCCCCAGAAAGTTCCTCCAAGTGTCCCTATATGGACGTGGGTCACCCAGGACGACTCAGCCAAGGAGGTTGTTTGACCATCTCAGAATCTGTTGAGACTTTGAATGATCCAAAATTAACATCTGGTCAGTTTTTAGCTGAAAGTCCGACATTATCATAACTTTTTACCCAATGGAAATCTTCAGTAAATCTCTACCGAGTTGGAAATCAAGCGACATGCCACTTCCAGACGTCCACATCTCCTGAAGTATACGTCCTGGAGTCTCCACATGTTCAGGAGATGTTCAGAAGTTTCTGGTGAGTGGAGAGAACGCAGCAAGTTCTGGAAATCGAGACTGAGTTCTTTGCTTCAGAGCTTCCAAAATCAAGACTCGTTCAAAAATAAAGTGGATTTTCAAAGAAGAACTATATCTCTACTACACTGGATCTATTTGATCAAAGTTATTGTGAGAATAACATCTGGATGACGTCACTGATGCTTAGAAAGCTTCCATATGTTGGTAGAAATGGGAGTTGTGGCCGATCAGAGCTGACACAGGCTGATGAACGGCCCCAGAGCATGATGCTGCCACCGCCATGCTCGATGGTAGGTCGAGTTCACTTTATTAATACCGGTGGGTAGATTTGTTTTGCAGAAAAAAGACAAATGGCAGTCTGTAACATAAATATAGACAAAAAGACAAAGAAGTGCTCAGTTTTCCGGGAAGCAAAAAGATGAGATTAAATAAATAAGATCAAGATCAGTAAAAGCTTTAGGGAAATAAGAACAATCTCTAGAATAAAAGCCAAGATAAGAACATCAAATTTAATTTAAAAGTCACAATGATAAATAGAGCTAAGAAATAAAATAAGTAGAATGAAATGCTCCATCTGAGGGCGGAGCTTAAGTCCAGCGCTTCCCTCTGAAGACGCTGTGGAGAAGAAATGTTGACTCCTGGAACTCTGAATTTTCTAAGATGGAATCACTGAAAGACATGAATCTTTGTCACAAAAGACAGTCCTATGTTTTGGTTCTTTCGTAGTGTGACGACCCTCCATCGGTCCACCAGGTGTCCCTGTGTCGTCCTGTAGCAGAGGGTTGTCAGCTGATTGCACCACACCTGGAGCAGTGGATCAGCCTTATAAGGCCTCCCTCATTCCCTCATTCCGTCTCAAACAGGTTCTCTGACGGGACCTCTTCCTGGCAGGAGCACCAGCAGCACGGGTTCTGGGTTCTGTTTGGTTGTTCTTATGCACCTTTTTGACTGTTTTTTTTTGTTAAAATAAATACCTTATTGCCACCACGGAGTTGTTGTCTCCTGGTTTTTGTTACAGATTTTGAGCCAAGCTGTAGCGATAGATTTATTTTTGAAATATGACAAAATCTGTTGGATCAAATGCTAATATTTGTCCATTTTCACCTCAGTTAGCTTTTTCTGGTTTGTCTTTAACACTTGTTTCTTCATCAACCCGCAGGTTCTTAATGGGTTTAAGTCAGGACTTTGAGGAGACCAGTCTAGAACCTTCATTCTAGCTTCATTTAATCATTTTATTATGTGTAGACAGCTACAGGAGTCATTGGACAGACAGGACTGCTCATACATACATGCTCTCTACAAGTATATATAGTCATTATTATATTACAACATAACGTGTCCTGAGTCAACGTGGATCTATTTAAAGCTCCGGAGCCAAGCAGAACCCAATAGAACCCAGTAGAAGGTAATTAGGCAGCGGTCCAGCTCAGTTAAAGCCTTCCTTCCTCCTAACTGCCTCCTCTGCTCTGTTCTCCAAACACACTCCGGCAGCCTCTGCATTCCGCTCTACTCGGCCGCTCATTGGCCCGCCGCCACGTCACTCACGTTCTCCCGGGCTGAACTCGGCCGCGATTGGCCGCGGGGACACCCACGGCGGTAGCTCGAACGCGATTGGCCGAAAAACTAGGTTAGTGGTCCGACAGGCATGACGGTGAAGAGAAACTGGGTCACAGATTGAAAACCGTTTATGTCACAGTTGTGTGTCTCGCTGTTACGGTAAAGAAAAAAAAAGGAAAAAAAAAAGCCCAGCCGCTTTAAATGGACGGACCCATCTCGCCGCAGCTCCCGTGAGTATAAACCGAACCCACCGGGCGTCCGCGGCGCTCGACGCCGCCCGTGTTGCGACTCTGCCGGGGCTTTAATCCGCGATGGATGCCGTCGATGTTTTCCAGCGCTGTGGTCATGTCAGTGTGGCTTTCTGGAGCAGCGGGAGGGACGTTAGCTTCTGGCCAAGTCTGACAGCTAGCTCCGCAGCTAGCCGCTGGATGCTAATATTAGCCGGTGGGAAAAGGTGGGAGGGGGGGAAACCGCCTTGTAAGCGTGCGGTGCTAGCTGTAGCCGCCGTCGGGGCTCCGGTGCCGCTCGGTACGTCCCGGTTCGCGTGTTTGCTCAATGCTAACCGAACGTGACCTAAGTGCGAACGGAGCGTTAGCATGCTAGCTATGTAAACAGGCCGCGCGGTGGGTCTCTGGCACGCGCTTCCTTCGATAGCGTCCCCACCGAATGTGGGTCGGAACCGACGCTTTTCGCCGCTCCGTGGGGTTCCCGGTTACGAAATTGTCGTGACACGGCGTTTTTGTGTTTGTTTTTTTGGCAGCGGCCGTGGAAATGTGGCGACCGCTCGGTGTCTGCAGTCTCCGCAGCGGCTGCCAGCGACGAGCAGGCTGCGGTCGGCTCGGTCCGGGGGCTTCATCCGAGCAGAGCACCGGGGTTTCCATCGGTAGGATGCCCCCGGTGGGCTCCAGGCAGGTTCTGCGGAGTCGATTCACAATATTGCGGAGTCTTTATTGCCATTATCGATTGTTTCTCGAGTAATCGATTACTGTGAAATGGTGAAATATGTGGGTCAGTGTGTATAATTCAAGTATAATCAGTTTACTGTGATAAAAGAGGCACGAAATCAGAAAATATTCACATTTACGAAGCTGAAATCAAAGAAATTTGACCTTTTTGCTTTAAAAAAAATGGCTGCAAGACACTAGAAATGAAATGTGATATAGGAAAATGCAAAAATTTAACCAGATGACCTAAAAAGCTCCATTTAGAATGAATTTATTGATGCTAAATGTCAGGAAATGGTGGGTGAGCGTTTCCTCAAATGTCTTGTTTTGTGTATAATTCAAGTTTTATCAGTTTACTGTCATAGAAACCAGAAAATATTCACATTAAAGAAGCTCAAGTCAAAGAAATTTGACATTTTTCTTCTAAAAACGGCTGCAAGACACTAAAAAGCTAATGTGGTTTACAATTAATTGGTCTAAAATGCTTTTAACCGAAACAAATGATGGATTTCTTGATGTTAAATGTCAGGAAATGGTGAAAAATGTGGGTGAGTGTTTCCTCAAAGGTCTCGTTTTGTGCAAAGATATTCAGTTTACTGCCTTGAGAAGAAATAAATCAGAAAATATTCACATGTAAGATGCTGCAACCAGAGATTTTTCACCTTTTATCTATAAAAAAATTGGCTGCAAGACACTAGAAAGAAAATATGACATTAAAAAAATGTAAAAATTGTTGAATAACCCTATTTAGGATGGATTTGTTGGCGTTAAATGTCAAAAAATTGTGGGTGAGTGTTTCTTTAAATGTCTTGTTTTGTGCATAATTCAAGCATAATGTCATAAAAGAGGAAATAAATCAGAGAAAAATACATTTAAGAAGCTGAAATCAAAGAAATTTGACTTTTTCTCTTGGAAAAAAAATGGCTGCTGGACATTGGCAATAAAATGTGATATAGGAAAATGCAAAAATTGTAACTAGATGACTTGAATAACTAGATTTAGAATGAATTTGTTGATGTTAAATATCAGAAAAAAGAGGAAAAAAAAGAAAAATATTCACATGTAAGATGCTGCAACCAGAGATTTTTGACCTTTTTGTTTTAAAACATGGCGCGCAATAAGGCTGCACGACACTAGAAAAAAACTATGATATAAAAAATGCAGTAATATTAACCAGTTGACTTAAATAACTCTATTTAGAATCAATTAATCGGCCTAAAATGATTGCAGTTGAGTCGATTCATGGATTTATTGATGTTAAACGTCAGGAAATGGTGAAAAAAGTGCATCAGTGTTTCCTCAGATGTCTGGTTTAGTCCAAAAATCTTCAGTTTACCGTCACAGAGGACGAAAAGAAAATATTCACTTTTTACGATGCTGCAAGCAGAGATTTTTGACCTTTTTTCCTAAAAATAACACTCAAACCTTTAATCAGAATAGTTGGCCACGGGGCAGCCGGATGTTGGAAAAACCAGACATTCTGATATTTAGTGTTTCTGGGAAACGCCGCTCATGCTTTTGGTCGTCGTTTCTGTAGCTGAAATATTTCCAAATTGCAGCTAAATCTCGTCGACAAACTCGATGTCTTTTCAGTAAAGTTTAAAAGAAAAAACTCCTTAAATCGGAGCGAATAAACTCATCTCCCTTTTCTTGCGGATTAATCGTAGAAAGTTAAAAACTGCAGGTTTTCTGTTGCACATTGTCGTCATCGGCAGTTATCTGATTAATCCGTCGATCGCTGCGGCGTCTTTGTGGATCCATTTGGGGACGATTAATCTGAAAAATTTCTTGTCGAACGCAGCAGCACCGAATGAACATTTAATTGTGATTTTTGGTTGTGAGAGCGTCTACATGCATCCCGGCTGGATCGTCGGATGTGCAGCTTTCGATTTGAAACCTGTCATTTTTTAAAATAAACATTCCTTTACGTTCTGCGGTTTCATCAGCAGTAATGACGGCTAAGACGTCCACGGTGAACCTCTAAACTTGTGCTGACAAGTGGTTTTGTCTCTAATCTTTTAACGGTTATTTAATCTTCTGAGTCATTCTCAAGTCAGATGAGCGTTTTTATGGATCTGTTGATGCTCCAGTCTTCAGTCGGGCTGAATGATTTGGTGGAAAAATGTTGAATCCAGATCTTTATAACCGATGATTTTACGAGCCTCGGTTCGATTTTTTATTTTTTATTTTTTTGTGCGATCGATGTAAGAGACGATGCATAATCTTCAAAAATAAAACGGCGCTATTTTCAAGCTACAAACTGCTTCAAGCGTGTCTTTTTAAAACGGTGACGGAGGAGGAAGAGCGGTCACAACAGCAGCGGCGATCTTTAACTCGCATAAATGAAGTCAGAATCGTAAAAATGCCGCCAATAAAAATAATAACAGGATCTTTGTGTGAACAGACCGACATTAAAAGAAGCTCAGGAGCTGAAATAAAGTAAAATAAACCCGAGTTCAGGTGTTCTGCAAAACGTAGATCCAAAGTTATCACCTTTACTCTAATTTTGATGTAAAACAAGTTAATTTTATTTGTTTTATTTTTGGGAAGTTTCCATTTGCACCTCCTTTCCTCTCGTTCGGCGCTATCAGCAGCCGAGCAACACGTCCGCTGTGAACTTCAGACTTGAGCCGGTTTTTATTTTTGCTTCTCGTCAGGTAGTCGCCGTCGCTGCCGGAGCTTATCAGGACGGATTCGCTGCCACGGAGGCGGTTTTTGATAAGTTTTGTTGTGATGACTCGGCAGGTTTGGGGAGGACGAACCACGTGACCGGAGATAATCAGAGCAGGTTAACGAAACGGGAGAAGTTAACGATAAATCACAGGAAAGTGGTCGTCGGCTTGTGTGCCTTTCATAATAATGTGATTTATGTAAATTTGATGAGTCATGCAGCGGCGTCCGAAGCAGTAGGCGGTGGTTTATATTCGGAGGGTTTTAGTGGTGACGCTTCAATGTTGGGCTTATTTTTAGATCTTTATTTATTGTAACGTGGTGAAATTTGACTGTTGTCCTGTTCTGCTGCTGTAATAACTTTGTTTTATTCGGCTGTTAGACTCTACTTGCTTCTATCTCATGTAATTATGGACACTGAAGTATTTATTCACGATGATACGGTTGCTGCTGCCTGTGTTGCTCTGCTGAGGGAACAGCAGTCTGGCAGATGAAGGGATTTTTGAAGTATAGTTTTAAAGCCTCCTGAAGAGATTTCAGCCAGCATCACAATTATTTTTTGTGCATTTGGGTCACGATCAGTGGTCAAAAATGACCTTTATTCATAAACCACATGGAAAGCAACATCCACTGCACCAGCCTGAGTTTAGATATTGAGATTGAGAGGCAACACTGGGATTTATGGTGTGAATTTGTCCCAGAATTTTAAATATTAAGCTTGGAAATCCCACAAAAACTTCACAAAGTACAACTTTGCCAGACTCTAATAAGTGTTGAGGTGAACACCAGATCCAAAGACGACCTGGATCTCCTACCGGCAACCATTATTTAGTGGTTTTTTTTGTACTTTTTGCAAAAAATGCATTGACATAATGAGATTTCTGTCAAATAGGATAACACCGACTCATTGGTTTTACTGTGCGTGAACCGATCGTGCTTGCTGTCGCCTCTGAAAGGCCGGTTCTGATCCTGAAAAATTCTGAAGAGACGTTAGATATATGCAGTATATATATACATGATTAACCGTATAAACATTTTGAGCAATCTATAGGATATAGAAGCTCCAAATAACAAAAGAGAGTTTAAGAAAGTCTTGACTTTCCTTTATCCCCGGTTGAACTCTCTTCGGGGGGTACGTCAGAACCTCTTTGGGGGGCGCCGAGCTGACTCTACGCCGGGCAGACCTCTGATTGCATACATCTGGTATGCACGTAAAATACAGCCGTCACTCCGACTGCTTTCTGATTATCCAAACCAAAATGATCTGTGGCGGAATTACAGAGCCGGGTTGTTTTATTTGCCCTGACCTCCTTCTCGTCTGCGGTTCGCAGCGGCGTCTGTACGCGGCTTAAACATTAAATACACATCGTCGTCACAAAAAGCAGTACGTCCAGAGTTTGATCTGGGAAAAAGCCCTGCAGGAGGTATGAGTGGCAGCAACCGCAATCGAGGAGAGCCCTGCCAAGTTAAACAAGGCCCGATGTGTAATATCTAATAATGGGCTATTAAGGACGCAATTATCGGCGTCAACAAAGAGAAGAGATGCTCGCGTGCAATTAAAAAGACTCTCTGTGCAGTATGGCAGAAGGAAATGCAGAAAAACCCGCCGTATTTAT